TAACATTTATTTATCTTAACTACAACGTTATTAATTCGAACAACAATTGCCAGGCATTGAGATGGAGGTTTGAGGTCTTTATTTCGGCATGGGTGACCTGTACTTTTACTACCGAATAAAGTACATATTTTATATTAATATATAATATAAAAATAAATAAGCATCTGAATCAATAATTTTACGGTAACGGCATTTATTGACTACTTTATATATGGGCCATGCCGCAACAAAACCAGATAAAGTGAACGTTTGATTATGAGAGCTGATTGTGATGCATCTGTAAAATTGGCCAGTGTGACTGATGACTTTTTGAAAAATAATAACGGTACACATCATAATTTTTAGACTTGTTAATTTTAATACTCACTTTATCATACCAGAATGCGATAAATATAAACCATAACATAATTAATATAGGACTCATCCCTATATAAAAATAAAATATAAAACTAATTTACATTAAATCCACTATGAAACCCAAGAATTACAGCACTATTAGAAGTATTTTAAAAAAAGCTCAAGGAGAAAAAATTGTGCCTTACATTTTTAAAATTAATGATACCCAAACTCTCTAGGAATATCCAGATTAAGAAAAATTTACTTATAAAATTTATCAATAGGAACAAAAAATAATAAACCATAAATGAGCATTAAAACCAACACATGATGGACCAAAAAATTAGAAGACAATTAAGGAAAAGTAGTTTAACATTCCTTATAGTTTTTTGAGTTGTTGATAAAGAACTGTTTGAATGCATTTATTGAGCTTTGACCAAGTTTACTACTTTGACACAATGCAATTAAAAAAGCGAAAAACGTAAAAATAATTCAATTTTTTCGTAAGCATAAATTTTATTATTCGATTATCGAATGCGAGCTCTTGAAATAGAAATAATAGTAAAAGCACCAGAATGATTGCATGGGAGGAAAATACTCGGACCCCAAAGCGCATTTGTGAGTATAACCTATTCTTTTTCCCATATGAGTAGTTTACGTTATGCTCCCTTTCTTTGTCAATCCAACGTTGAAGTGCTCAATAGTCTTTTTCCGTGGGGTTGTTCGTCGAAGATAAAATTTTCTTATTGTTGATGCAGCGATGACTTTCTGTTATTGAGCAACTTGTAAATTTCAAGCGTTATTTGATTAAATGAAACTTTCGGATCTAGCTCGGCCTTTTTGTCAAACACGTTTTTAAAGTTTTTCCGCAGTTTTCGACGTCTGGAAAGTAATTTGGCAAGTAATTTTGTTTGCCGAATGGTTTACTTGATTTATTGTTATGCCTTTTATAAGATCGATTAATTTGATTATTTTGTCAATTTATTGATTGATGTTGGCTTTTAACGATTAATTTTACAATCAATTTAAATTGTCGATTGTTAGGTTGAATGAAGAGAGATTCTGCTGCTTTTATAGTAACCTCATAAACTAGGCCCGATTTGTTAAAGTCTAAACAAAACTGTTTAATTTACCGCCGAACCTTTTTCATTTGACGATAAACAAAAATTGTTTCAAACACATAAAGCATACCTCGAGCGTCGTTGTTTTCTTTACGGCAGTATGAACCACTAATTAGTATGGTTAGAACCTATTATTCTATTGTGCGACAATCGAGAGACAATATTCGAGCAAACAAAGAATGTATTAACCACTGACAGGGAATGATCACGTGTACAAAATACGTCCACATTCCAAAAACATGCACAAGGGCAACAATCGGACAATCTGATTTGATGATGCATACAATTATTCCATAAACGCGTCTAGTCCAATCTTTGAAACGTCGATGACGCGGGGAAAAAAAATAAAGGTAAAGGCAAATGAAACCACTGGCTAGAATTAATGAGAGATAATAATAACTATAGCTTCTGCTCAAGCAAATTTGCATGGCACAACTGCTACATCGGGTACGCCTACTGATACATCAACAGTCAGACACGACACTGCTCCTCCGTTGCGAACAGGGCTGTCTAGCGCTAAAGTAGATTTATTACGAGTACTTTTTTGTGGAGGGTTTATTAATATTGTCTACGAACCAAACAGCTATGGAGGACGTTCGCTTGAGCTGTTCGTCACCTAAAAGAATCTGGTTGAAATATGGTGACGGCCGACCGGTTAGCCTCATGTTTGACGGAGATATTGTGGACGACTTGGTAGAAGTGGTTAAGAAAGAGTTGCCAAATGAGTTGGGTAGCATTGATGTTCACCGGATCACCCTGAGGAAGCACGGCGAGAAAAAAGACTTGGATCCGGGACTAGCTTGTAGACGACAGCTTTAATAACAGCTCAAAGACACCTCTCAAGCTTATTGTGAATGCACCTGGTACGTATTCAAGTTTACTTGAAAGCATCATAGAGTTGGTTTTTTCCAAGTCGTTTTCTCTTATGCGTTTCTGTCTCGGTTATCGTTGTAGCGCCCAATAAGAGAAACAGAAAATCCGAAGAAACGTCCCCTCATGAGCAATACATGGGAGACCTCAAGCGCATCAAAAAATCTCCCAGTGAAATGGTAAAGAAATTCAATAAGGCCATTCAGCGACAAGATAGAACGGAAGAAGTTTATCGACGAGGGATCGTTGTGGCTCAATGACCACCTATTTTTGAATCATCGGCCCCCATCAGCGCAAGGCATTTCGACCGAGCTGCTGCATCCCGTGTTTGGTAAATTCCTACATGACTGCGCGACCATTCAACCAGAGTTCCAAGACGTGAAGCTCGCTTGAGCTCTTCGTCACCTAAAAGAATCTGGGTGAAAGACCGCGTATAACACAAAGCTTGGATTGACTCCTGATGTTGTTGAGTCGGCAAAGAAATCCTTGTTCAAATTCGCCCAAATGGATGAGGAACATGTAGAACCCGAATCTAGTGAAGTCGTCGTTCAGGAAAACGTGCCACTTGACAAATTTCTGAAATATGGTGATGGCCGACCGGTTAGCCTCATGTTTGACGGAGACGATGTGGACGACTTGATAGAAGCAG